ACTGGCCCATATGATTGGCCACTCATTACGGGTCGCTATAGAAGAATAGAGGAACTTTACCCGCTTAGGATTACTTGTGAATCCATCTGAGGTAGTATCATAGGAGGAATCGTTATCCACCTTAAAATTGGTGACAACGTCCGTAACCTGTCCGCTCAAATCAACATCAACCTCAAACTCGAACCTACTCATGTCAGCTTTATGGTACTTTACCTTAAACTCAGAAATTGCCTTCCCCCGAGCCTCTTTACTTCTACGGACAACATCAGGGCGTTTTAAAAGTTCCATATACTTAGCAAAGGCGTCATCCATCTTTTAATAACCAAACGTATGTTATTAGAGATGAAGTTTACAGTACTTAACAAGGGATCACACACAGTAGTACCGCTACAGAACTCAGTTCTAAAAAGCAACTATAATTCAATCTTTGTAAAAAAGGTAGCAGTTTTCTGGGAGTATTTCAACATTAAGGAACAAACAACTTTGATGACAGTGAAAACAGATGATGGACTTGTGAATGTAGATACATACCCGGGATACTACACGTTCAGTGATATGAATGAAAAGCTGGGAAAAAGTGGGGTCGTGATAACGTACCATCGTGAGTATGCCAGGACTTGGATAGAGACGTCAAAACACAAAGTCATAATCGAAAGAAAACTGTTAGAGATGCTTGGATTGAGAAGGTTTGGTGATCAGCTTGTGTTACCAAAAGGTGCCAGCACTGGTGGTGAGAGTAGGGTTAACTTCAATGATGGCCTTAAGTTTGAAAACATTCATTGTAACCTTGCCAGCAAGAGCTACAATGTCAGTCACCTAGGGAAGCCAAGCGATGTAATAACAAGTGTCACAGTTCCAACGGACCGGTTGTTATTCGGTTCAGTGGTCAGCTACATCGACGTTGAGAGCAGGACTTCAATTGTCAAGGCAACATGCTCAGAACTTATATTCCACATGACAGACCAAGACGGGAAACCGATTGATATAGGTGAGGTGCTTATTGAAATGTACATAATAATAATGACCTTTATTTGTACCCTTTACAACAACAAAAATATAAACATTTTACACAATTAATGATTAAATAAAACGGGTACTAGCTACTTGAAATAACCATAAGGCTAGAGACCAAGCAGCTAATAAATATTGATATGAATATAAATTATCAGTAGGTCGTAACACATATATAGTAGAAAAACAAACACACAGACGAATACATACTCACACACCTAGACAAGGCTATTAATATAAATCTTGCATAGGTAGAATTTATTATACAATTATTAGAAATTATATAAGATTAATATAGAAATATAATATTTGAAAACTTATAAATATTATAAACAATAAAAACTCATTTCAAAAAGTCAATATTTGAGGAAAAATATTTCCAGAATTTTCTTTTTAAACTGATAAGCAGACAGCAATTTTATATTATTGTCATTTGAGTTCCATATCTTAGCTCCTTGAAAACTAATATTAAATAGTCCGTAATTTGTCCTTACTGTGTCAAGAAAGTAAGATATCTTAGAGGCTAGTCGTGTGTTATAGTTGTGAATCTGATTGACAGGAGTGAAGAAATCAGAAAAAAATGAAGATAGCTTGTTATTATAAAATTTGTGCATAAATATTGCCGTATGAAAATTGACGAGATCAGAGAATTTAAGTATTTTAAGATGTTTAAAGAGAGGAGTAGAATGAGCATCAAATTGCGAGAAAGTTAATAACTTCTACTGTTCAACCGTTTATAAATAATGCGGGTTCAACCGTTTATAAATAATGCGGGTTTATAAATAATGCGTTTATAAATAATTTTACTGTTTATAAATAATGCGGGTTGCCTTTTTTTGAAGAATAAGTAGAGGTTGAACAGTAGAAGAAAAGGTGTTTCCCCATATTGTGATGCCATATATCAGAAATGGGTAAATCAAAGTGTCATATAATGTAATTAGGGTGTGTCTATCCAAATAATATCTTAGTTTGGATAATATCCCTATGCTACGATTTAGCAATATAATTAACTTGAGTCTTCCAATTAAGATGGGAGTCTATAAAAATACCTAATTATTTTATACTATATTCTCGTTTAAGGTGCTTTCCATTTATTATTAAAATGGGATCAAACAAAAGCTTCTTTTGTGGGGGATGAAAAATAACAAAATTGGATTTTTCTATATTTAGGGATAGTCTATTTGCATATAGCCATTCATTAATCCTATCCAATTCTCCATTTATGTCGGATTCAAGAGTAGACAAATTTTTATGCTTATAAAATAAGTTTGAGTCATCGGCAAAGAGAAGGAAATCAAATATATTAGAGCATCTATTAAAATCATTTATATAAAAAAAAGAGAAGAGGGCCTAAAACAGATCCTTGTGGTATTCCACAGTTTAGGCTACATAAGTCAGAGGCAGTGTTGTTTAGATAAACATATTGTTTTCTATTACTTAAATATGACTGGAACCAGTCATTTGCAACTCCTCTGATACCATACATTTCCAGCTTTTTAAGTAAAATACCATGGTTCACAGTATCAAAGGCTTTAGCAAAACCAAGAAAGATCCCACAGGAGTATTCTTTATTTTTAATCGCCCTTTGTATGTTATCTACAATGCATAAAATAGCCTGATTAGTTAAATGTTTGGCACGAAATCCAAATTGTTTCTCATAAAGTATATGCTTTTGATCAAGATAGTTTAGCAGTCTATTGTACATTAATTTTTCTAATAACTTATTGAATACAGACAAAAGAGAAATTGGACGATAATTATTTAAATGGCTGCGGCATTCTTTTTTAAAGACTGGAACCACCATTCCTGTTTTAAAACTATTAGGGACAATCCCATTGGAAAATGAAAAATTAAAAATTATTTCTAAAGGTTTCGAAATAACACAATTTAGGATTTCTAGGACTCTAACTGGTATACTGCAAGGTCCCACAGATTTGTTGCTGTTCAGATTACTTATTTCCTTCTCTATTTCAGAGGTATAAGTAGGAAAAATAAAAAAACTGTCTGAAAATGATTTATCAATATAATCTAAAGGTGATTTGCTCACTGTTGGAATAGAGCTTTCAAGTTCATTTCCAATGTTAGCAAAATAATTACAAAAAGCTTTAGCAATGTCTCCTGGGTCACTTAATTCCCTACCATTTTCAATTATTTTATTGGGAGCTGGATTACATTTATTATTTACATTTATAATTTGTTTAATTCCTTTCCAGAGTTGCTTACCATTGCTAGTATTTTTGATAAAATAGTTATTGTAATATTGTTTTTTACTAACTCGGATTAAATGATTAATCTTATTTCTATAAAATTAAAATCTATGAAAATAAAATTGGTATTTTGTTTTAAGATATTTTTTATAAAATTTATTTTTTATTTGGACAGAAGTTCTTATACCATGTGTTATCCAAGGTTTCGATTGCACTTTCTTTTCTTTCTTAGACAGTTCTTTAATAGGAATATGTTTATCTACTATATCAGATATTTTAGTATAGAAGCAATCCAAAAATGTTGAGGGATTGGAGACATTAGATGCATTTGAAAAAAGATCTTCGCAGTCTACTCTCTGAACTTCTTTTATTAGAGCACTTTGATCCAATTTAGAGTAGTCTCTATTATATATTTTTACATTATCAGGCAATGAAGAAAACTTATTAATGATTAAAAAGTTAGCTATATGATCAGATATATCATTTATAATATTTCCACTTTTGGCAAAGTTAAAAAATATGTTGTCAATAAGAGTAGCAGAATGGTCAGTTATTCAAGTAGGTTGCAAGATGTGAGGCTGAAAAAAATTAGTTCCAAGGTTCATAAATTCATCTGATTCAGAATGTGATCCAAATTTTAATAAATCTATTTTAAAATCTACAGAAATCATACAATATTTCCCTCTCTATTGACTTTTTGTAAAACGGAATTAATGTACTGGAAGAACAAATTAAGATTTCCTTTAGGATGTCGATAAATAACTCCACACAGCAGGTTACGCTGAAGGTCATCCTGTACCTCAATCCATAATGCTTCAAAATATTTATCAGATATAGATAAATCCTCACGTTTAATATATTTCAAATTATCTTTTATAAAGAAACCAACATCACCTGCATTAGAATGACTTGGCTGAGATACAAAGTGATAACTTGGTATTTGTAAATTAGATATAGGATATTTATTTATTTATTTATCTGCTGCTTAGTCTCTGAAAGACCAATTAATGAGAATGGAAAGTATAATTCAGAAAGCATATTGACTAGACTGTCATGATTTAATGGATAGCTGAAAAAGAATCATAACTCTGAAAACTATCCACTATATTCTGATTACTATGAAATTCATGGGAGTCATAATAATTAAAATTAATGTCACTAGGCATATGCAAATCAATATCTGAGGTAGTTAAATGGTGAATATTTGTGGTTGCTGAATTTATGTCTAGACGAGGTAATAGATTATAATCTACAAAATCTAGTATGTCTGAAGGACTAGTACTTTGGTTACAAGTACATTTGCTACAACTAGTCATCATTGGCAATAAAACATTTAGATCAATAGTCTATGGTACTTAGCTTATTTGATAAAGCCTTTCATTATTTGATTCGGTCCAAATCTTTCAAGCTTCTTATCCGAACAACCGGGCTAGTCTCTGCCTTTCTAATAAAGATATTTCCTGATGATGTCCAAATAAACTTGTATCCCTTTTCTCGTTTAGCCCCATATGCTTTATGAAACAGATCCCTGTTCTTTCCAGTAAGACTTTCCACAACAAAGATCTTGTTATCTGACTCATATCCAAGGACTTTGGCTGTTACATTGTCATTATATAGCTTTTTCCGCGCTTTGTAGAAATTTTCCTTGGTCACACGTCTGGTGAATTTGACAATAATCGGGGGTGGTTGGAGTTTATCTCCCCGATAGGACTCGCTTGTCTTAAGTCGATGGCTTATAGAGATATCGTTCTCCTCGATTTCAACACCCACGATAGCAGCTACCTTCATCACAAATCTATCTGTATTTTCTTCACCTGATCGTAGCCCACGTTTCAATGGAACTCCTCTAATTTCCACGCAATCTCTTCTCGAATACTGTTCTAAGTCATTACATTCATCTTTTAGATCATTTAACTCCTTCGTTGTCTGTTTCAGTTGCAAAGCAAGTGCTTGGTTTTCATTACAAAGATCCTTTTGCTTCGCTTCGTATGAAGTTAATTTCGTTTCCATTTCCTCATATTTTGTATTTATGAACTCTATTGATCGAACAATTTCGTTCATTTTAACGCTGAAAGGCGCCCATTTCTCATCCAAAATGGATATCAATTGTTGTACTGTTACAGCCGACATATTACAAACGAGCAAAGCGAACACAAAGATGACAAAGTAAACTTTAAACAAGAATATAAGAGTCATTGGCGAGAGCCCCAAAAAAGCACCGCCATCTTGTTTGACCCACGTGATACCTTAGGCTGACATTGGTTAACATATGATGGACAACAATATTATGAAAGAACAGGGACTACGAGATATTTACTACAATCCTAAGACTGGATTCCAAACACCAGAGAAACTGTACCTTTGAGCAATATCGGACGGACTTGAAGTAACCAGAAGTCAGGCCAAACAATGGATAAACGAGCAGGACACATATACCAGATACAGACAGGTGTTTAGAAGGCACAAGTTCAGACAGACGTACGTCCAAACGTTAGGTGAGCAGTTACAAATGGATTTAGTTGACATGACAAAGTACAACGACAAGGACAAGGGATACCACTGGATTCTAACATCCATTGAAATACTAAGTAGGTAGGCGTTCACAGTACCAGTGCACAGGAAAACCGCTGTAACAATGAAGGACGCTGATAGTAACTGTTTAGAGCAATTTAAGAATCACTTCGGGAAGTACCCAAAATTTGTTCAGTTTGATCAAGGTACAGAGTTTTACAACAAAGAAGTAAAGTCATTGCTCAATAAACATAACATTGAGTTTTTCTCCAGTTACTCAGATAAAAAGGCTGCAGTTGTGGAAAGGTTTAACAGAACACTGAAAGCACTAATGTGGAAGTACTTCTACAGTGCCAGCACATATAAATGGTTGGACGTCCTTCAAGACTTAACCGATAATTACAACAGTTCAGTGAACAGATCAATTAAAACAACACCGGATAGTGTCAATGAGTCTAACTGGACTGACGTATGGAAGACACTTTTTAGTCACGACCTAGGTGAACCAGCGGAGCCAAAGTTTGTTGTCGGAGAAAGTGTCAGGATTTCAAAGTACAAATCAGTGTTCACAAAGGGGTACGAAGCAAGCTTCACAGAGGAGATATTCACTGTGACGGAAGTGTACCATGGACACCCAAACACATACACAATAAAAGACAGTGCTGGTGAACCAATAATTGGCAGGTTCTATGAACAAGAACTGTATAGGGCTGAAGGAAGAGAACCTGATTTCAGGATAGAGAAAGTACTAAGAAGAAGAACAGTGAAAGGTAAGAAGATGGCTTTCGTTAAATGGTTAGGTTACGATGACAAATTTAACAGTTGGATACCAGCTGGAGACACCAAGTCTTGGATACCAGCTGGAGACACCAGGTAACAGTATTATGGAGGATGCTGAACACTACGATGACATTGAGTTGGAGGAAAGGCAGGAGAGCTGTCCTCAGTATGACGACATGAACTACCATGACCTTTTGTCAAACTTTGATTAACTAACAAATAAGTTACAAAGGGAGGTAAAGTATGGTTCAGATCCATTGGTAGCCACTGACCTTAACAATGAACTCAGCTTTGTGAAGAAGCGAATGGAGGAACATGGAACAGCACAGACAACTTTCACTGAGGGGGGAGAGGGAACCGTAAACATTACAGGACCATCAGGGAGCACCACCGTCCCAAGTGTCGACTTTGTGGAGGATCCCAACGATTTACTCCCAGATGTGCTCAATGATTCGTTTGACACTAATTCGGACGACATAGAGGACCGCTTGAGTAAACTGGAAAAAGTTCTCAGAAGACCGTCTCACAGCAGAGAAGAAAAGAGACTTCGAAAACCAGGTGGAACGTGTACAAGCTGTCACAAGAATTATCCAGACAAAGGAGAAAATAGTACTCGACCCAAGGAACAAAAATGTTAGGGAACTCATCAAGCGATCATCTGTTAGAACACTCAATGATGGCACAGAGGTATTAATGTTTAGAAGTGAACAAGGTATTAACAAATGTGGTACCCAGATAATGAAACGTGGGAAGACCAGCATTCCAACATACTCCAAGAATTCCACTGCATTGAGAGAGTACAAGGAATTAGTGAGGAAGATTAGGGAGGAACCATCAACTAGCACCCATGAAGGAGATGATGAAAGTGTAACCACAGTTGTAGATCAGGGTGCTGCATTGAACAACCCCGGTGGTTAGGACAATACATTTGAAGACATTGAACCCATAGATGTGAGGATAGCTAGAGACGACATCCCAGCTCTAACCCCTACGCAAAATAGAGAACTCCGAGGAGTGTTTGACCCCACAGACACAATGGACATGGAATCAAGAGTGGGCAACGATGGTGCACTTCAGAAACAATTAGAATACTTTCAGGACACGATCCTATAAAACGATGGAGTTGAGGGACGAAACAGATGACACAGAGGAGTTCATCAATTTGGAAAAAAGAATAGTAGCTCTTAGGGAAGCAAGGGACAGGACAGTCATGCAGAAAGAATTAGAGGAAGGTAGACAAGCCCAAGTTGAAGACATTTCCAGATTCCACAAATTCGTGAAATGGTTAGGAGAGGAAAAGGTGGGACTCACAGGTGTAGCAGTATCAACGGCCGGTCTGATCACAACTCTACTGATCCATGCTAGGGGAGCAATCATAGAAACAGCAAAGTCAACAAGCAAAGTAGCCAAAGCATTAGCCAAACTAGCTAAGAAGGCAGGTCCCATTCTTATACCAGTTCTCAATGCCATTGCAACAGCATTGTCATGGGGCGCCAAAGGTATTGCCTGGTTGGCGTCAAACTTATGGGTTCTAGCTGTAGCGGCTGCACTACTTGTGTACAACTATTACACAAGGTAGCTTAATCATGGAGGTGGAACCAGAGGAATACGATGATCGGGCAATGGAAAAGTTGCGAGAATCATACCCAAATTACGAGGACATGGATTAAAAAGGTTTGCTTGATGAAATAGGGATACTAGAAAAGGACCTGAAAGAGGGTAGCCTGCGTAGCAGGCGCTATTTAGGGGGGAGGGCGAGGGTGGGAAAAGCTAGGGGGAATGCGAAGGCGAGAGCGAGGAAAAATGGAAGGGGCGAGAAAGAAATAGCGCCTGCAGGAAAGCCATATGTTTTCCCATCTGCCCAAGTCCCGCCCATTAAAAAACAAGCCAATCAGTGATTAGACGCAACTAATGGTTTTCCCAATAACAGATCTGGTTTCACAACAGTATGCATAACCATAGTTAATGCGCGTGTATACTATAAAGTGTATTTCTATGTTTAAAACGCCAAAAAAAATTGTAAAAAAGCAGGTAGAAAAGCGAAATAGGCAAGCGCTAACGATACATGCAGGTTTTGCAACAGCAATCTAAAAGCAGTATGTGAAAGTGAGCCTTCCTTTGAAAATTTGTTTAAGCCGTCAGACAGACAAGGCAGTCAGAATTTGATTTCAGCGAACGCGTGCGAGTCCATTGGTTTTAATTAAGTTGAATCGAAGCGAAACTTTATCGGATCGAGTGTGTAAACCTTGTAAGGAAAATAAGGAACGTTGCTGAACTATATAAATTTGTAAAGGAAGAACGATAATTAAAGAACAAAATAATACGGTTTCAGATGATCTGAGCGAGATAAGAAAAACGCAGTTGCCAAGAAATCACACAACGGAAGTGTATAAAGAAAGAAATTAAATGTGTGTGTCAAATCTAGTACTAGAAAGTCTTTTCCTCGACACAGAAGAACTAGATTCCCCATCGCAGGACAAGTTGTTAACAACAACGACAGCAACTCGAAGCGGCAACTTTCTCGATCAATTTATAGCGAATAGGCTAAGTTGAAAGTGATTATAGCGTATAAACTATAGTGATTATAGTAATTATAGTGATTTAAACATCCACGGACGAGAAACATTGCCATTCCATATCTTTTGGCTGGTCTTTAATATAAATGCTATTCAATGGGGATATTACAATAATAGCTGCTTTCCCTGACGTATGATAATCACGCGCTCGTACGAAAGCTTGGTAAATCAAACTTTTGCCATAAACCTGTCGGTAATACAGCAAAAACATCTTTTCCTTTTAAAAGGTCCCGAACTGCTTTATCTCGCTCCTCTTTCAGTTGAATACAGTGGCCAGTCGCCAACTAAATATAGCTAATCACTTTAGGAAGAACTTCGTCAATACTAAGGCCGCTATTTTGAACTCATCTAAAACCACAGGGAATATAATTGGGAAACCCCTGATGACTGATTAGCCAATCAGAATTTCGCGTCCGCTCACGGACGCGAAATATGAGAAAACATATGGCTTTCCTGCGGGCGCTATTTCTTTCTCGCCCCTTCCATTTTTCGCCCTCCCCCCCCTAAAGAGCGCCTTCTACGCAGGCTAGAGGGAGGGCGAAACCGGAGAGGAGAGATTAGATATTGAAAGGGAAATTAACTACGTAAGGGAATTGAGAAGGATAAAAGTAGACTAAGCGGAAGAAGATGGATCACAACAGAAACCCACACGTGAGCAACTAATGAACATGTTTCCGGACCTGTCCAATTTATCATATGAGGAGCTGCTAGACAGGGGAGACATACTGCTTAACGAAATTGTTTTCACAAACGAAGAAGACAATGGTTTCCGGGAGAAGTCGTTAGAGTTGAGATATGTTAGAATGCTAGCAGGTGATTACCAACGAGAGTCAAAGCTAAATGAGCTACTTAACTTGAGAGATAGGGTGACAAGAAGAAAGCTCTTCACACGTGAGGATAATAGGAAACTCACAAAGATCAAGCTGTGGGCTAGGGAAAACGCAGGTATTTTATCAGCATTAACAATTTCTTCCATTAGTGTGATCATAGGTTTGGTAGCTGCAACTAGACACATACTATGGAAAGTTGGTGACACATCGAGGGGAATCGATAAACGTCTCAACAGGTTGGAGAAGGGACAACTGGAACTACCACCCATCTTCAGTGGGATAGCAGAGGGGTTAGAGTTGATGGGTAACAACGTGTGGATACTCGTCATTTGTGCGGCAGCGGATATACTGTATACCTATCGCTAAACATTACATACTATATACAAACATGAATACCACAGAAAGGGAACTTCAACCTGGCTTCAGGAGGAGCCGCATGACTACCATCAGAGGTCCTCGCACCAGAAGTGTCGTCACATTTAACCCAACAACGATTAGTCCTGGGGAAGAGTTATATATCAACATACCGAATCTCAAACCTTCCTCCTGTTTGGTCCCCGGCTCACTGAACCTTCTCTTTGACTTCAAAAACTCTAACACCAAGTTGCTTCATGAATAACCTGTCAAAGCTTCTAGCCAAACGGTTACAAATAAAGGTAGCAGGAGAGGCAGCCTATGACTGTTCAGGCGAAAGTTTATTCGAGGTGTACAAGGACCTATGGCTCATCGAGAGAGACAGGAAGAAGATGATTGAACGGGGTGTCGCAAACGAAAACCTTCCCAAGTTATTCTCAGGGGATGATTCAGGTAAAAAGACAGGTGATGACAGTAAAGTTGCAGACGCTCTAGTCCAATCAAGCTATGGCACTAAGCTGAAGAAACCAATTGATAAGATCATAGGTGACCATGGACTTTACACTCCCTTTACCATGAATAACAATCCGATGTACATCCTGACTCTCCCAGAAGCAGATGAGATTATGACCGCACAAGGAGGACAAAAGGTTGATGGATACAAACTGGAAAACCTTGAGTCAGAGTATGAGACCATCGAGAATGACGTCCTTGCAAGTGAGGTATCAAGGATGTATTTCACGAGAAGATCACTGTCCTACAAACACGTTACACTTATGCGAACAAGTAACTGGGACAAGGACCTTACCATTGTTAACGAAAACATTAACATCCCCAGGAAAAGCATGTCAGCAATTGTCCTCCTATTTACCAACAAAGTGAGAACTGATTCTGAGCAGTACCTGTACCCCAACCTTGAGAAAGTCAGGTTAACCATTGAAGGTGTGCCAAACTCCGTGTTCTCCCAAGGCTTACCCAAAAGCAGGTTCTTTGAAGAGGCAAAAAGGTTTTTCTGTCCAATGTGTGAGAAATCCATGGCTGACGAGTTTATGTCCATTGAAAAGTTCTGCAAAGACGGGTTCGCACTTGTGATAGATGTCAGGTCAACACAGGTTGATACCACTGGAGGAGGTAAGAAGATCGTGAACACCCAAAGTGGAGTGCTACTGGAAATAACAAAGAAAGCAACAACTGCTGACGTTCAGTGCAACATTTTCATTGTCTCAGATGCTCTCCTTAACTTTGCCAATAGAGATCTCTCAAGTATTCAATACTAATGGTAACACATAGAGATGACACCTCAACCGCCGTTCAACATGCTGATAGTCGGAATGATAGGGAGCGGCAAAAACCCAATTCCTCCTTGACATGCTAGAGACAGAGTACAACAGAGTGTTCGACTACATTGTCATTGTATGCCCAACCATCAACTGGAACACAACGTATCTCAACTGGACCCACCTTAGCGACCATGGGGTTATTAAAGTCCCCTGTTCCCAGGAGATGATCCATCATGTTCTCCAGGCGGTATCCACAATTTTCCGCGGAACCAACACTCTCATCATAGTGGACGATTGTGCTTCAAGTCAAGCTGCAAAGAAAAGGGTATCTGAACTGGTGCGCTTAGCATTCTCCGCAAGACATTACAACTTATCTGTCATTGTACTTACACAACAATTGTCCTCAGTAGCAAAGCCATTCCGGGAGAACATTTCCAGGCTAGTCACATTTTACAACCCTAGTCGCAAGGACATGAAGGTCATGACAAACGACTACCTAAATGGTGTACCACAGGAGACAATCACCGAAATCACAAAGATACTGAGAGGTGAAAAGTTCACCGCACTGGATATACTACTTGTCCACCCTTACACTTACACTCTCCGCTAAACACCGCGTAACATATAGATGGCTACCGCAAGTAGTGACTCAGAATCAGACAACGAAATATTCCAAGCCACACTTAAGGTAGAGGAAGCCGCAAAACCGCTACCAAAGAAATCACCTAACGCTAAAAAGAAGGAGAAACTTATCGAACTATCAAACGATAGCCTCGTAGATAAACCCGCAAATTTCATAAGGAAAGCCAACAAAAGTGTTGTCGATAAAATGTATGACGAATATGAAAACCAAAGGATGTCATATGCAAGTGACTTCGTTTCGGATCTTATCATTTCAAAGTTTCGCTAGTCCTAGGAAGTCTCAATGCAGTGGAATCAGCAGAGAAACTATCAGAGGAACTGCTCAACGACAAACTTTTGAAGGACGACGTAGCATACCTCACCCGATCGATATCCCCTCACATTCCATTCATAGGACTCATTTCAGGGGGATGTACAACAGCAAAGCATGTGGTTGCTCACAAATGGAAAAAGGAAGAGGAACCACCTAAGGAAACAGCAGTGATACCCAAAGATTAAACATGACCTGTTTCATACAGAATGCCCCAATTGGGAGAACCGTTCGTGTGGGGTAACCCATGGGAAGGAACTGAATTTGAAGACATTATTGAGGAACTCATTGAGAAGACAAATAGCAACCGGGAAAAGCTCAGCAAACTGGAAAATGAAATTGAGAGCATTCAGTACGACCTAAAAGCATTCACAGAGGACACCATTAGAATTGTCAGCAATATTTACAAAAAACTTTCAGAACTATAGGGAATACCTATTTCTCGCATCACAGAAAACCACCGACGACTACTTAAAGACGTACTCGTATAAACGAGCAACTGGGAATGACCAAAATAATTTTCTCAACTAAGAGTATAGAGAGAATGGAACAGATATTCGAAAACAAAGATCTTGACATAAGTGTGAGAACTGTGAGGAAAGGTGATGAGGTACTGTTTTACGCAAAAGATGTGGCGGCAGCACTAGGATACAAAAACACAAGGACAGCTGTTCGGGACCACGTTTGGGCCGAGGATAAGTGTCTCATAGGGGGAACTAAAGGGGGGGGGGGTCCGCTGAAGACCCCCCTTTGAGCAGTCAACCAAACACCGTTCTTATTAGTGAACAAGGGGTGTAACAGCTAATTTTCGGTTCTGAACTCAAGCGTGCTACGGAATTTAGGAGGTGGGTATTTAGGGACGTACTCCCGTCGTTACGAAGAACGGGGTCGTATGAGTTACCCAAACCGAGACTCCTTGACGGCACCTAGATGAGGCTAATTAACGAGACAGACCTACACTATGCAGTTATCAGGTACATTCGTACGCATTATCCAGACGCTCCAATTGTAGCGGGTCTAGGAGAGTACCAAGATACTGTTCAACGTAAAAGCGACGCATTTCATAAGGGCTATCTAGGAGGACAACCTGATATCATAGTAGTAAATCCTATGAATGGTTACACAGGACTAGCAATAGAACTTAAGACCCCTAAGGGCACCGGTGAAATAAGGGACAATCAGGTAGGCTGGCTTAAGAGATTAACTCAACTAGGTTACAAAACAATGTTCTCCAATGACTACACATAACTTGTACTTGAAATACACAGGTACTTTCAGGTGAACATTTCAGAAAAACATAAGAAAGAAACCGCAAAGCTTAAATAACAATGTAACTTACTCAAACAACAATTCAGAGAAGCAACTGCATGTTACCGTCCCAAGTTCAAAGGTTACAAGTACTAGTTAACCAACACTACAGTCACAACAGCCAGCAAATTACAAATACGCCTGACTACATATGTCGGGCATTTTTTAAGCAATCCCCTCAGGGTTACCTCACATTGGCCCACAGTTATCTTACAAGTAAAACAGGGTCACCTCAGCAGATATCTTACAAGCAAATTCAAGGTATCTTGCAAGTAGATTACAGTTATCTCACCAGATATCTCACCAGTAAAATTTGAGATATCTTGCAAGTAGATTTGAGATATCTCACAAGTAAATTCAACTTACCTTACAAGCAGAATTCAAGATATCTCATGAGATGAACCCCAGTTAAACCTAAGGTATCTTACAAGTAGAATGGCAGATAAACCTGAGCAAACTCACGTACCTGTAACAAGTGAAAAGAAGAAGGACCCTAGGAGAGTAGCTGCAGGGAAACGATTAGCAGCAATTAGTAAGATAGCCAAGGAGAAGAAAAGGAAGATAGGCGAAAGTAGTGAACCACAGACGGACAACAATACACTCACCTACTTAGGGCTAGCCATTACGTTCATCACCCTAGTAATCACATTCAGGATGAACCGAAGGGAAGAGGAAGCACTTGAACCTAAATACACACCACAAAGTCTGTCAATAGAAAAGCAGCCTCATAGATCCACTATGGACAACATCGAGTGACACATTAAACATATCATATAATATAGCAAGATGAGTACAGAAGGAAAGATGGCAAACGAAGTGTACGATGCAGTACTACTTACAGCAGGAGCAGTTGGTGTGTCAATGGCATCGAAGAAGATTCTAAAGAAACCCCTAAGTACCCCAGAGAATGTAAAAGGATTTGTTAAGTTAGCAGTGTCAGTTAGCCTGTCCTCCCTACTAATCTCATACCTGAAAGGAAAAAAGTTCCTTCCGGATGATCCATTCAAATCTAGGTACAAATATACAATGGCAAGTGCAGTTGCAGGAGGACTTTTTAATGCATTTGCTTTTGCAGGAGCAGGGTACCTGTTTAAGATGTTCGATAGGAATGGGTACGCTGAAAAAGCCAAAAGACATAACATGGCAATGGAGGAATTAACAGCTGAAAGAGAGAAGTACCTTTAACAGGTCACTGACAGGAGAAACAAGATAGCTCAACTAAGGGAAGAACTAGCTGAAGCAAATAGTCATATCAAATCAACGAAGCAGTCGCTGGAGCTAGTGAGAAGAATAAATGAGTTAACAAAGGAACCACCGCCTAGAACGCCGCAACTCAGCAGTCACTACAAACCTAGCCCTGAGGTGGAAGAATATATAGCACTATTTGGCTTACATGCGGGTGGAGCAATAGGTGGGGCCGCTTACCTGTTACTCTAGACTTAAACATTATTTTATATTGTAATAGTATACAGGATGGAGTGATTATGTGAGGCAACACCTGAGGAGATAGTAAGAGTAGGAGGAAAAGCTAAAACAATGGAGGAACTAGAAGGGCTAGTCAGGAAGCACATTCAGAATAGAATAAGAAAGAGACATTCTAAGGAACACACATGTAGGAACTGTGGAAGTAAGTCCACGGTGGTAATAAGTGGAACCGATACATGTACAGTATGCGGAACCAGTGAATCGAACAACTTATCATACTATGTCAGCTACAACTTTAATAAGAACGACTACCTGAAAAAGAAGAGTAGACACAACAGGGTACGTTGGTTTAATAGGTTATTGGTGAAACATGTAGCTAACTGTGATAGGGAAAAACTGAGTAATCAATTTCAGATGGTAGTAAGGTGTATAGAAAGAATGAGACTTGAAAGGGGTCGCAATATTGTGAGATACAAGTTTTACCTATTAAGGTTAACAAGCAGCAACCGCATAGAACTGAGAGACACACTGGAGGACATTAGAACAAAAAAGCTGGTTGACCTTTTAGAGGACCGTCTTTATGGAAAGGTATTTGTTGAACTGGGATGGAAAGGTGAAATGTGTCCTTACTATAGCAATTGGGAGAACCGTAAAATAGCAGAAGAGAATTGAGGTGTAGAAGCCACCGCAAAGGTCACCGCATTATTTTAACATTGGCCTATAGGGAGACCCAAATTTCAAGAAATGTCAGAAATGTTCAAAATGTAAAAAACGTTAAAAACCGAAGATTCTTCATCTGACCCCACAGCACACGAAAACACCAGTGAACACTCTGATGAATAGTGATATTCTAATATTGTCATTTGAAATTTCAACTTTCTCAGATTGGATTCACATCACAGAAAAACGATGACGACTACTTAAAGACGTACTCATATATTTACGGTATAGAGCTCGTCTGAGATCACCCCCTAAAAATCACACTGACTTAAAGAAATATTTATACATATTGGTATACGGAAAATGACAAGTGCGTTCAGCAGAAAAAATAATTTCTCAACCTAGACTATAGGAGAGAGGACAATGGAAAACTCAACACAGGTCAACAACAATCAAGGTGCGTTCAGCAGAAAAAATAATTTCTCAACCAAGACTATAGGAGAAAGGACAATGGAAAACTCAACACAAGCCAGCAACAGTCAAGGTGCATTCAGCAGAAAAAATAATTTCTCAACTAAGAGTATAGGGAAAAAGAAAATGTCGAAGGCAGCGCGAATGAGGGAAGAACAACACGCAAAAATCAGAGAGCAATTCCTGAGGGACCTCTTTACTAAGGATAGGTCCGAGAGTGGATTTAGCATCTTCGACGAAAAAGAACCTGAACCAAAAAGGTATAGGTCAGAGGTCAAAATCCAGATGGATAAACACAAGGCGATCAATGCGGAGGAACCAAAAAAGCATAGGTCAGAGGTTAAAATCCAAGTGAACAAGCCCAAGGTAGTCAAGGTGGAGAAGCCAAAAAGATTCAAATCTGAGGTTAAGATCCAGCTGAAGAAACCTAAGGAAAAGCCAACCAGACCTATAAGGAAAGCACCGATATACTAGAGGGTGTAAGTCCATGGAAACCAACACCAAAGCCGAGGACTATTCTCCCTAAGGTCAGACCAATACCGTTACCAAGGAAGAAACTTCAGGATACAAAACCGACTCCACCACCGAGGATACGTAAGCCGGTGAAGAAGATGAGAGAAGTCGAGCAACAACCTCAAGTGATCACACCCGAGGAACATGAGATTGATCCATTCGGAACTGACTTGCAGATGCCCGGTCATAGGAAGATAGAGACAGCAGCTAACGGGTCTGTCACACCTCTGTATAGTGACCCACTAAACCAGATGACATCAAGCAGACAAGTGGTGAGGAGTATATTGGTAAATGAGTTGAAGAAAATGGGTGGACTAAAGTACACGGAGACGCTAAAGGTGAAAATGTCGAAGGAAGTCGGAAATGGAAAAACAAAGAAAGACTCGGTGTACTTCAAATCAAAGACAGGAACCGCAACCAACTTCGAGGACATAGAGAAAACAGCTGCCTTCAACCAACAGACAGTACTTGCAAGAATCGAAACATTTCAGAACCTTGGAAGTAACTGGATAATAATGAACATTGAGAGTCACTACATTAACATCGCAATGTACAAGCCACTGGCTGGTAGCTCATACATGGAACTCCCTAAGGATATAAGTAATTCCAAATGTGGATTGATCAATATAAGAAACGATGACAACATGTGCTTCATGTGGTGCCACGTCAGACACCTCAGACCTAAAACCAAACGAGCAACAACCATAACCCAAAACGATAGGGACTTCGAGTTGAATCTGGACTACAGTGGTATTGAGTTCCCTGTGAAGATAAGCGACATAGGGAAAATAGAAAAGAAGAACAAAATAAACATATCAGTGTTATATTACAGAGGTAGAAAGCAGTTCTATCCAATAAGGATATCTAAGGGCGAACACGAAGATCACATGGAACTGCTACTACTAGGTGACGGTAATGGGAAGCTACACTATGTAATATATGAACAACGAGAGCGAGTGTTTCACCGGGATATCTAAACACGAGAAAACAATGAATGAAAACACGAGCGCGAAGCTCGAGTGTTTTCATACATTGTTTTCAAGTGTTTGGATATCCCGGTGAGACACGAGCTCGAGTTGTTTATATGGCTTCTCAAATGAATCGAGACGTAATAGAATGTTTTCGCTGGCTGATTTGAATAGAATTCTTAACCAAGCATAACGTAATTAGGAATTCTATTCAAGTAATTTTGCATGCGTAATTAAGATATTTGATGAAAACACTAGTGACTTTCATCAAGTATCCAAATGGCATCTTGTGATCAAATAGGTGATTATCATTGGCTAAATTGCTCATGAATTATTAATGAATTTGAGAAGTGTTGATAAAGGATGTTAACAGATTACTGTGTACTGTGAGTAAGACTAAGGCGAAGGCCCACTATTGTCTACACTGCTTCCACAACTGTGTGAGTGAAGAAGCACTTACCAAACATAAGGAGATCTGTGTAGAAGTAAATGGAGTGCAGGCAACAAGACTCCCAAAGGTGGGGTCAAAGATAAGATTCAAAAATCGTAGGAACTGTCTTCCTGTCCCATTCGTAATCTACGCAGACTTCGAATCAATACTTGTACCCAACGAGAACACTAAGAGTAACACTTGTAGTGATGAGAGTTACACGGAAAGATACCAGACTCACCAAGCCTGTAGCTTTGGATTGAAGACTGTATGTCACTACAACGATAGCTACTCAGGAGAATACGTAACTTACGTAGAAAAGGACGCCGCCTATGTATTCCTTAAGACTGTCATTAGGGAAGCCACAAGATGTAGGAGTAATGTTAACAATCTGTTTAAGAAGAAGATGATAATCTCACCTGAACAAGAAAAAGAATTCCTGAATGCCGCAGACTGTTCCATATGTGGGGAGCTTCTTGGAGAAGACAGAGTACGGGACCACTGTCATATCACAGGACATTACAGAGAGGCGGCTCACAACATATGCAATTTGAAATGCAGGATATCATGGAAAGTCCCTGTGGTTTTCCATAACTTGAGAGGATATGAAAGCCATCTCATCATGCAAGAAATAGGTAAGTTCGGAATGGAGGTAAATGTGATACCAAATAATATGGAAAAATATATATCATTCTCCCTTAGGTAAATATCTAACATTCATAGACTATTCAATTCATGTCCTCTTCCCTAGAGGAACTTGCTGGCAACCTATCACCTGAGGACTTTAGGATAGTAGGTAAGCGGTGGCAAAGAGAGGACTTCAAGCTGGTAACTCAAAAGGGTATATTCCCCTATGAGTTAATGGATGATATCAGTAAGCTACAATCGGAGGGACTTCCTAGTAAGGACAAGTTCTACTCCACACTGTATGAGTATGATGTAAGCGACGAAGATTACCAGACAAGAGCACAGAGAGTATGGAGTCACTTCAACATGAAAACAATGAGGGACTACCATGACCTCTACCTGGAGACCGACGTCCTTCTACTAGCTGATGTATTCGAAAACTTTAGGAGAACCTGTATGGAAAGCTACGAGCTCGATCCGGCACATTACGTGTCAGCACCCGGTCTGAGTTGGGACGCCTTCTTGAAAAAGGTCAGGAAAGGAAATTGAATTGGTAAGTGATATGGATAGGTTCCAGTTCTTCGAGAGAGGTATGAGGGGTGGTACAAGCTACATTGCTCATAGGCACACAACTGCTAACAACAAGTATATGGATAAGTACAATGAAGACGAGGAGAGTAAGTTCATTATGTACCTGGATGCTAACAACTTATATGGATGGGCAATGTCACAGCCTCTACCCAGTGGTGAGTTCGAGTGGGTAGAGGACATTGATAATATTAACCTTGATGATTACATTAATGATGAGGGTAGGGGTATGGTTCTTGAGGTAGACATGGAATACCCAAGTAAACTGCATGAGCTACACAATGGATATCTGCTAGCCCCCGAGAGTATGAAGATAAAACCTGAAATGTTATCGGACTATGCGAGGAACATTGTTGAGAAGTTCAAGCTTACAGTGGGTGAGGTACATAAGCTGGTAACATCGTTAGGGCCCAGGAAGAACTATGTTATACATGTCCGCAATCTGAAGCTTTACACTGACCTCGGTATGATATTAACGAATGTCCACATGGCTGTAACATTCAAGCAGTCGTGTTGGCTCAAGGATTACATTGCCTTCAATACGAAAATGAGGTCTGCTTCTAAGAACACCTTTGAGAAGAACTTCTTTAAGCTCATGAATAATTCAATATATGGGAAGACCATGGAGAACTTGAGGAAGAGAGTTGATGTTAAACTTGTTTCATCAGAGGATGCCTTCTTGAAGTTGGTTGCCTCACCATGCTTCCAATCACATAGGATAATGAATGAAAATCTGATTGCAGTCAAGGGAGCAAAGAAAGTGCTAACCCTTAATAAGCCCTGCTACATAGGCATGTGTATTCTAGACTTATCCAAGACACTAATGTATGACTCCCCCTACAACATCATCAAGAAGGAGTACGGTGACAAGGCAAAGCTTCTCTTCACAGTTACAGATAGCTTGATGTATGAGATTAAAACAGATTATGTCTATAGGGACTTCAAGAGGATAGGTGAGGAGAAGGACTGCTGGGATAACTCCGATTACCCTAAGGATAGTCTCTACTACACAGCCCACAATAAGAAGGTTATCGGTAAGTTTAAGGATGAGGCCGAGGGTGTGCCGATCACAGAGTTCGTTGGACTGCGATCCAAGATGTACTCCTATGTTAAAGAAAACGGTAAGGGTGGGATGACAGCTAAGGGTGTGAAGAAGTATGTCATCAAGAACAAGCTCACCCACGATAACTTCAAGAATGTCATAGCTAAGAAAGACAGGATGAGACACAAGATGAATACAATACGAAGCACCAAACATATAGTAGGAACTTACGAAATACAGAAGGTAACACTAAGTTGCTTCGATGATAAAAGGTAGTTGTTGAATGATGGAGTTACCAGCTACGCTTACGGTAATAGGAGAATAGGTGACACCACGATAGAGGTCCCTATCATAGAAGTATGTGAGTCCGACAAATGGACATACATCCAAGAGGAATACAAAGAGTGTGAGATAGTTAGAGTCGAAAACAAACCTGAAGTAAGAGTTGTTGTAGAAAGGATCGATCCAAATACTAAGTCATACAAGTCAATTCCAGATCACACTCACAGATCACACATCGTTAGACTTGCTTCTCAGAACCTAGTCGTCGGAATCAGCTGAGGAACCACGGGTTCAGGACTACTTCTTCACGACTTGCATCCTCAGAAACTAGCCATCGAAATTAGCCAAGGAACTGCGGGTTCGGGATCACTTTACCCCGACGCAGGAGGGGTGAAGTGGTCTCGAACCCGTAGTTCCTATACTACTAACGTTGATACACTTTGCGCCGATTTACTTGTTACTACGCGTCTTGTTTATAAGATTTTTATAACAAACAGTATTGTTTAGGTCTGACTCAAAATCAGCAAATGTAAACATTTGATAATAGCCGAACAGAGAAATGTCCATAAGCATAGAGGAAATTTCAGTCATTGATTTGTCTTTAAAATTTTGGATTTAGTACATAAATCGTATTCAGTAATTGTAGTAAGACTTTAGCCTTTTTCTTGGTCTATTTATAATCACAATATTTTGCTTGAATATACTTATATCAACACGAGTGGAATTGGGAAAACGAGAAATTGTATGGAAACACGACGCCCGAAGGGCGGAGTGTTTTCATACAATTTCGAGTTTTCCCAACTTCCACGAGTGTTGATATAACTATATATCAATACGGAAAAAATGTTTTATATTTTTTTTATAATATAGCAATATCAAATGCCCGAGAGATAAGAAAAATTACCGTGTTTACAAGCGGCAGAAAATTTCCCGTGTTGACATTGAGTTATATCAACACGGCTCTTAGCCAGTCAGCGTTCAGTATTTACAAATGCTATATTATAATTATATTTATTTGATAGTGTCATATAATGATAGTGCGTTTACACACAATGTCACAAGCAATCCTGGATATGATATAGACGATGCAAGCTGTCCGTTAAAAAATAACAGTATTCTATTTCACAAAGCAAAAATTTAAATCTCATGCTCTTGTATTATTAAGAATGTATATACAGCAAAAAATTAAAGCCTATTCATATCAAAACGAAAGCGTTTACAAAATTTATAAATGTGGTGAACACTACTAAACAGTGCTCATTGAAAGACATGTATATTAAATATAGTGACATATTGTCGGTTGACTTATCTTTGGTGATGATTTTAATACCGTAGATTTTCAACAGACAGTTATACTTTGACATATACCATGAGCAATGCCAAGGGCCAATTTTATGGTCTTTTGACAGGCTGTATAAGTCTTTTTAATAAGGCCTTTATATAAATCAACAAACTGGATATTACACTGGGTTGGCGATATTTCGGAAATTAAAAGATCTCGCTATTTCGTTGCAATTCCACATGAACATTTCATCAATGAATAAATTATTTTGGTCCGAGTATCAGGCCAGACTTTGTTACTAAATAAATAAATAACAACCACATTGTTCGGTCTAGAGATATATATTTTCTTGTAGGTTTAATATTGCTACGCTGTACAAGCGGCAAGCGTGCTTTCTTTGGCAAATCTATGAGTTCAATATTGGAATCTGATCCAACTTGCTTGAATTGTAACTCGACACCAGATTATAGAGTAGAATGTCACGATATAAATATTAATTTAAGAGTTCTCTTCACGATTTCTTGCTGCAAATTTACACTAAATTTCATCACCCAAAGTTGCAAATTTAAAACGCGACAAACACGCTCCTCTCCCACCCTACCCACAGTAGAATTTTAATTTACCTCCCAGAATCTGGGAGGCACGTGACCAGCCACAGCCAGGGTTTCTCCCAGATGCCAGAAGGAGAGACCCTGGGAACGAGGTTGGGATGGATGAAGTGACACACGATTGCATAACTCAAAATGACTAATTCCTATGAACCAGTCTCTACATTGAACAAAAGACCGGTTTTGCTCGAATTATTTTGAGTTATGTAATTTTAAGCGTGTTGGACGTAAACAACATATCTTGTCTACAACTTTGGGAAGGTACCGATATCGCTTTGTAAAATCCTCAGTTCTGGCTGTATCTCCATAAAAGCACAAGGACGTCAATGTTAGGTCGTTGGGCTATATTTCTGTGATGAGAAATAATTGCTGACATGCGATCAGAATGTTTTATACAACGATGTAAAACGATAATCTTATGGAATGGGCCAGCATTTCCATTTCCAACACAGTCTCTGAGATGTAATTCAAGAGGTAACTTATCATTGCATTTGAACTATTATATCAGTTGGTGTTATTCTGTGCGATAAGCGAATATTATTGGAAAGAGGGCTGCCATATACGTTCAAATCACCAAATAAACAGCTTATGCACACATTTCTCCACTTAGTCGTAAGTTTACAGAGCAAATTTTATACCTTGGCACTGGTCTTTGTCTTTGATATGAACATTTTTATTCCCCTAGTTTAAGGTTATTTAAGATTCATCCTGTCATAAGTCTTCTACTAGCAACCAATCGATAATATTTCACTTTAACGTTGTCTTTGCCGTTACGGTGGATTCGCATTACTTTTGTTTTAAATACCTTGATCGCGTTAAATTAGTTATTTTTCAGTGATATAGCCAAAAGACTTAGCATTAACGTCCTTGTGATTTTATAGAGATATCGCTAGAACTGAGGATTTTAGAAGGCGTTATCTGTACCTTCTCAAAGTTGTAGAAGATATGTTGTTTACGTGCAAAATCCGAAGAAAGTACATTGGCTGCAGTCTATTATATTCGGAATTTGCCGATTTTTCAACAGCCAATAAGCAACAAGCCGATGATTTTTCCGATGATGACGTTTGTCGTGCATTTTGCATTCCGCCTATCGACAAAAATAATTTCGATAAAACCCACTTTTTATCCCTGAAATTTAAATACTTCTAAACTTTTTTCAACTCTAAAAAGTTTGAATAAAGTTAGAAAAAATATCCAAGGTGTTTTGTATTTTTTTCAGGAAGTAGCAGTTTTTGTTGTTGTTTGAAGCGAACGTATTAGTGTGTGAAAACGTATTTTGTAAAAGAGTTGCACGCCTTAGGATATTATACTATATGAAAATACAATGACGTAAACATCGGAATCTGCATGTATAATTAGCTACACAAATAAATCGCTTGATAGCAAATTGAGACGAACTTTATAGGTATTTTTAAGCGTGTAATGCATTTTTACACATTTTTCTGGGCAGCCTATAGTAAACCGTTGTAATTGCCACACTCTCATTCTAATCCACCCGTTGAAGACTGCAGATTGGCAGTTGAAAGCTCGTAACTGAATAAATTTTTAAAAACCAGAACACGTCTAAAAACTTATTATGCATTGAATCTATTCGCCTACAGTGTACATAATTATAGTCCGGACCTAAATATATTATAGCCACGATATTGTGATACGTAACATAAACTATATAATTAATTGACATTACTCATAGCTATATACAAGTTGACTGTTCAGGGGGGGCTAAACATATTTCATGAAAAGATCTATATATTAAGCCTACAATATTCCGAGAGAAATAGTACCTAAAAATTTGTGGTCACACCGTACCATACAGATAGTTAAAGAAATGGCTAGGCGGTATGCAACTGACGCCAGCAGACGTGACCTATCTGAAATTCATGATGTTATTTTGATCCATTATCTTATATTTTGTCTCATTCAAGTAACCGTATTGAGATCCAAAATGGTTTCATTGTCGTCTTTTATACCTGCCGGCGCCACAGCAAGGTATTCGATGTAAACACTGTTCGTTTTTGTTTCAGCTAGCAGTGAAAAACTATAGTGATAATATAATGATATAATTGAAACTTGATACGAGCTTTTCAACGTAGAATGGCGTCGTTGAATTCTTACTTTTTAATGAACTTATAGCGGCATTATTGTAACACGTGGAATTATTAGGGATTTAGATATGTGATAATTTTCAACCTGATAGAGAGGTCAACGATGGATACATCATGCGCAATGTTTGTTCAAATTGCTGCAACTATTTCAAACTATCTCAATGTGTGGCTATGGGATACAAAATGCAACTGATGAAACTGCTCAAATACAAATAAATTTTCCGAAACTATAACAAACACGAAGAAGACGTTTATCAAGTTTATCTCATAAGATATACGTTCGAGAATAATCTTATTTCATAACACTTTCGTAATACCAAGTCACACGTACTGCCGTCACTTTTTTCGTTCAAATAACCTTCGCCCAATATACGCCAACGCCACAATGACGCGATATGTATTGCAATATGAGAGGACGTGTTGTATTCTTCCTGCGATGTTTGGCAAATTGAAATCGAATAAAAAGGATTCAAACATCAACATATATTAAAAATGCAGGCGTGCAAGTTTTGTTTACTAGCTATACGACAAGTACTGTATGCACGGCAAATATGAAATTATAGAAAATTTATTTATAGAAACTACTTGTAAAGTACAAATTTTGTTTGTCCGTATAGTCAGGAAATAAATTTTGGCAAAGTGATCTGAGCGCTTGCATGCAGCTGGTTAACGACCCAATATTCTACTAGCTACAATAATAGCTATCGCGTGGCTGTCAGAAAACCAAATACTTGTCAAGTTGTCATAGAAACATTAGTGAACTTAAGCCGGTTTTCCACTTCAAGCGTATCGTACCGAAACGTACTGGTGAGCATGCACAGATTGAAAAGAGGTTCATAAATCCACGTACTTCCGGGAGTATTCGCGTATCAAAATAAAAAAGTTTGTCGTAAGTCAACTTTTTGGCGTACTACGAAATTACTAACCAATCAACATTCACGAAATTTTGAAATTTAAAAACTTTTTGACACGTTCGGTACGGTACGCCTGAAGTGGAAATAAACCGGCTTTAAACAAGCGACGTTTTTGTCAACACGGATCGGATGTCAGATTGCCAAGGGGAGACTGGGTGAAAAACTTTGTTTGTGTCAGTGTGTGGTAATAATGAAGTTGTTTGTTTCCTTACACGAGCAGTATGATGCAAAATGCCCCGGAAATGAATTATACCAATTTTCGAGTAACGTCCGTGTTGACAAAAACGTCGTTTGTTTAATTTAAGCTCACTATTGTTGTACGCACACACGTGCAATTGGCAAAGAAAATATATCGTATTAAAACTTGTCGTAGAAACCTTGTTCGTCTGCAACAGGCTTAATACTTTCGTACTATCGTGATTGCAGCATGAACTCCACCTTTGAATTTACTATATGAGTAAATTCTTAAACACGTCCGAATTTATCATTATGATAAATTCGCGGCACATTTTGAATTTACCATAATACTAAATTCGCGGCGCCTAACACTAACCCCAATCCTAACCACTAACCACTAACCCCTAACCCTAACTTTCTAAACTTTTTTGGAATCTAACTTTTTAAACTGTTTTTGCTTTTTAAAACGCTTTTAAAACTTTTCAAAAACTTTTTTAAAAACTATTTTTCTGAAAATCCTGAAAATGTCGTGATTACAGCATGAGCTCTACCTTCAAATTTACTATATGAGTAAATTATTAAGCACGTCCGAATTTATCATTATGATAAATTCCCGGCACATTTTGAATTTATCATAATAATAAATTCGCGGCACCTAACACTAACCCCAACCCTAACCACTAACCCCTAACCACTAACCCCTAACTACTAACCCCTAACCACTAACCCATAACTACTAACCTCTAACCACTAACTCCTAACCACTAACCTCTAACCCTAATTTTTTAAACTTTTTTTTAACTTTTTTGAAAATCTAACTTTTTGAACTTTTTTTGCTTTTTAAAACTCTTTTAAAACTTTTCAAAATCTTTTTTTAAAAATATTTTTCGGAAAATCATCAGCTGATGATTCCTATACGGATGAAACAGACTGTTGTGGTTTTTTTTGAGGTAAAACGAAAAACTATATAAATATATATATATATATATATATATATATATATATATATATATATATATATATATATATATATATATACTTTATTTAATTAAATGGCTTTATCGATAAACTTTCAGTTTGCAATAAAATGATTTCAAATTCTCGCATGCAAATATCTTTGCTTTCTTTTTTATTTAAAAAATTCAATACAATAAAAAAGGGAATCAATATTAAAAATACTCTGAAATTTATATATATATATATCGGAAAAAA